TTAACATGATTAGCAAACAACGAGAATAATGATGATGATAATAAGAAGTATGGATAAATCATTAGATTAAATTAATGATGTGTAATAATCGTTCTTGGGGGAGCGGGACATGGAAAATAAGAAAACAAAAGCATGGAGCATGAAGAGTGGAGAGGCGTGATATGAGTTTTATAAATTTTATTTTGACCACCTATAACTGTATGTTTGAATTTTGAATTTTTGTTTATTATAATTCTTCTTATTTTTGTTCTCTATTTTGAAAAATCCTAGTTCAGCCCTTGAAATTTATAGTTATTCGTATTCAAATGTGTGCATATTTTGCAGATTTATTTTCTTCTAGAATCAATATTACTTTTCAGGAAGCAACGAGAATGATAATAATAATATTAAACATGAATAAATGCATGATAACGATGTTTTATAATAAAATGAAGCCGAAAGATTATTCAAAGTTGTTGTCTTCATTTATAAAGATTTGACAAACTGTAACAATTAACCAGCCAAGGGATAGGTAAAGAGATTAAACATAAGAGAGAGGGAATATTTCATAGTTGGATATACAGTGAAACCTGGAAGGATAGAGGGACGGGAGGGAGAGAGAAAGACTCAGAGCGGGAGGGGATCAGAGAGAGAGAGAGAGAGAGAGAGAGAGAGAGTGAGGATTTTGACAAAAAAGGGCACATTGAAAATAAAGAGAGATGAATAAATTCAGGCATAGAGTGCGGAGGGGAGGGATAGAAAGGTATGAAGAGAAACATGGGGAAATAAGAATTGAAAAAGTGAGATAGATTGAGGAAGCCAAATTAAGGGAGGGGTAGGTGTAGATTGTAAAGGGAGTTCAAGGGATAGTAAGAGCTGGAGAAACACAGACACAGAAATAAGTCTAGGAAGAGAGGTTTCTCAGACAAAACGTATGAAGAAAGTGGGGAAAAGAAGAAAAAGAAGATGTAAACGAAGGAAGAGTAAGAGAGAGAGAGAGAGAGAGAGTAAATGGGGCTTCTACAAAATGGCAAAATAATATTATGAGAGATTAATGAATTTGAGAAGATACAAAAGCAGGATACTCATTATTAAATCTCTCTATTAAATATTACTGTTCTTTCTGTCAATACAGTTCTCCTTTCATACATTTGAATAGATGTCTCAATATTACCTATTATGTTTTTTTTTCTTTGTGTCCTCAATTTAGGCCTTCTCCTCTTTCCCTCTACTTCTCTTCTCTGCTTCTAGTTGCTTCATTTATTAGGGACTTTTAGATTTGCGTGGACTGATACGTGTGACGTCCATTCAAAGCAGTGCATTAAAAGGACGTCGATCGTAGCAATCCCCATTGTCTTCGTGCGAATCTAAAAGTCCCTATTCTTGCGCATGTATGTGTATTTTCATCTCTCCTCTGTTATATTCTCCTTCTCTTTTTCTCACTCACTCACATTTACTCTCTTGCTCTCTCTCTCACACTTTCTCTATTGAATTTTGTTTCTATTCAATTTATGATCTTCCTCTTTATTTCATATTGAACAAATACTTCCCATTCTCTCTCTCTCTATTTATACATATATAATATATCTCACCCACTAGCCCTCTCTCTCTCTCTCTCTCTCTCTCTCTTTCTCTTTATACATATATAATATATCTCACCCACTAGCCCTTTCTCTCTCTCTCCCCCTCCTCTCTCTCTCCCTTTCTCTGTTGAATGCCAACTATTAAATATGACTATCCTCTTTATCTCTTATTTTACCAAAATGTTCACCTCTTGTCCACCCCCCTCTCTCTCTCTCTCTCTCTCTCTTTAATTAACTCTCTCTCACCCTCTCTTTGATTTTACTTCTATTCAATTTATGATCTTCCTCTTTATTTCATCTTGAACAAATACTCCCCATTCTCTCTCTCTCTCTCTATTTATACATATATAATATATCCCACCCACTAGCCCTCTCTCTCTCTCTCTCCCCCTCCTCTCTCTCACACTTTCTCTATTGAATTTTGTTTCTATTCAATTTACGATCTTCCTCTTTATTTCATATTGAACAAATACTTCCCATTCTCTCTCTCTATTTATACATATATAATATATCTCACCCACTAGCCCCCTCTCTCTCTCTCTCTCTCTCTTTATACATATATAATATATCTCACCCACTAGCACTTTCTCTCTCTCTCTCTCTCTCTCCCCCTCCTCTCTCTCTCTCTCTATTTATACATATATAATATATCTCACCCACTAGCCCTTTCTCTCTCTCTCTCCCCCCTCCTCTCTCTCTCTCTCCCTTTCTCTGTTGAATGCCAACTATTCAATATGACTATCCTCTTTATCTCTTATTTTACCAAAACGTTCACCCCTCTCTCTCTCTCTCTCTCTCTCTCTTTAATTAACACTCTCTCTCACCCTCTCTTTGATTTTACTTCTATTCCTTTTCTGATCTTCCTCTTTATTTCATCTTGAACAAATACTCCCCATTCTCTCTCTCTCTCTCTATTTATACATATATAATATATCTCACCCACTAGCCCTCTCTCTCTCTCTCTCTCCCTTTCTCTGTTGAATGCCAACTATTCAATATGACCATCCTCGTTATCTCTTACTTTACCAAAACGTTCACCTCTCTCTCTCTCTTTAATTAACTCTCTCTCTCTCACCCTCTCTTTGATTTTACTTCTATTCCTTTTCTGATCTTCCTCTTTATTTCCTATCTCACAAATACCAATTAATAAATCCCATTCTCTCGAGCTAGAAAATTATCACATTTTATTCATTCTTCGGTATACATGTACAATGTTTTCATTATCTCATCTGGGGGGTGTTTCACAAAGATCCTAAGTTGAACTTATCTCTAAGTTGGACTTAAAATTTATGGGAAGCCATTAGCATCCTTGAAAATATTTTGTAATTTTTTTTTAGAAGGCATAAAATGTTGATTCAAATCATTCATATTTTCTATTATCATGGGAGATTTCATGTTCTTGATGTGGAATTGATGAAAAGTCTGAAATCCTCCAATTTTTGCTTTTGAATATATTTCATTTTAAGGCTCCAATGGCTGTCCATACTTTTTAAGTCCAACTTAGAGATAAGCTCAACTTAGGATCTTTGTGAAACACCCCCCAGAATTCCAAGGTCCTGTCATTTTGATAATTGCTTCAGAGTTAACACTCTTCTGGCTACCAAACAGACCATATCGTTGCATAGCATGTCACATTGTAGAGATGGCACACAATGGTAGCACCGTATTGGGTGAACAAATGCTAAGGTCGGGGTCATGTCTTGCATTTAGAAAATATCAAATTAGACATTTGCACTTTCTTTTTCCTGTTTTTATGTCATCGTCTAACTTTGAAGTTAAAAAGAAATGCGATTACATTTCACTTAATCCAGCCAACGACCAATATCTGTATTAGTGTATTTCATTTATTATATTTGTTATCTTTGTATTGTGATTCATAGTATAATAGCTCATGGCAACATACCTTACATTTTCTGATTTCATGTGATAATTAATGAGTTAATGAACAGAACTGGGGTGTTTCACAAAGATCCCAAGTCGAACTGAACTCTAAGTTGGACTTAAATATTATGGAGAGCCATTTGTAGCCTTAAAATAAAATATATTCAAAAGCAAGAATTCAAGTATTTTAAACTTTTTATAAATTCCACATCAAGAACATGAAATATCCTTAATAATAGAAAATATCAATGATTTGGAGCAACATTTTATGCCTTTTAAGATTACCTTTACAAAATATTTTCAAAGATCCTAACAGCTTTCCATAATTATTAAGTCCAACTTATAGAGATAAGTTCAACTTAGGATCTTTGTAAAACACCCCCCAGGAATAATAACTATATCTAAATTTTGTCAAGGCATAGGGTTGTATTGAGTTTGAAGTGATGTTTTGGTAGAGGGATAGTGTTACAAGCAGGTCTAGGGTACATGTATAATGTATGAATTACACTAACTTAAATAGTGCCACAAAATATTTTTTAAGAGATAAATTCAGACAAAAATACTGATTCAAGTAGAAAGAATATAGCATCTACTATCATACACATCCTTTTATAATCACATGATTATGCATAGCCTGAATGAACCAGATTCTTACTAGAGAATCGCCCTGGAATGATTGGCCTCTTAAGATACACTTTAAAGGTAAAGGCCAGTATTGGAAACGCCCCAATTTCAAAAAATGAAATAAAAGCTCTCATTACCAATCATGTGAAAGAATATGTTTTGACTAATACATGACGATAACAATTTGCCGGGACACCGCCTACTAATTGATATATTTGGTAAGTTAGTTTATCTATTGGTATGTGAGAGATAAACGCATGTGTCGCACACGTGTGCGTAGTCCCATATACATCTTTCAATGTACAGTGCTTGTAACTTTACGAAGACTGAGTCAAATTTCTTATCATCTTGATGATTCCAGAAACTTGCAGTACACACCAATACTTATATGCTAGATGATCAACCTTTTTTGATCGATTCCCAAATGTTTCTTTCACAATGCAATCGCATGACCATAACTGGTCTTTATCTTTAATAAATGTATGATTCACACACTGGCTTGTCTCCGAAATGCATTGAATGTGCTTTGTCATCTTTAGTGTTGTATCACATAGCATTGAATTGACTACTTAACTCTCCCATTCAAATAAACTTCATACATACTATTCGATTCCCGTAGGCAAGGGGTTAATCATTGGAAAGTGGCTCAGTAGAATCCATCGCAGAACTAGCATCCCATTTTCCAAGTTCTGTCTCTGAGGATGTTTACACCGGCAGAGAAAGCGCGCGCTAGACCGCGCTATCTCTGCGGTTTGGAAGGTACAACGTCGTTTCGGTCCGCCCAACAGCGAGCCACAGCGAGCCAAAACGGCGTGCCACTGGAGCACCTCTTAGGGGTGGTCCACGAGAGAGAGCGCGGTTTAGCGCGCGCTAGAAAAGAGGGGGTGCTACGATACACCGCGCTATCTCATTGCGGTGTGAACAGCCTCTCTGTCTCGGTATCTTTGATGTTCTTTTGATACTGTCACTAATGGACCAATCTCATCATCCCAATAAAAGTGAATTTTTTCCAGTCTTTGTAATCGTTAGGAGGTGCCTACAAGGCATCCCCTCCAGAATCACTAGGGCGCTTTCCAAACAGGACGGAAGCAATGACGTTGAGAGAATCATGGGGATACAACTCTTCCGTCGTGTTCCTGTCGTCTTTGCCTTCCGTCATGTTTGTGAAAGGGTGCTACTGTCTACATTGTCTCCTCCATTGCCAGTCTTGGTCTCTCTGATGATCTTTGCCAGTAGCATGTCTCCCTCAGGATCTCAAGGAATCTCACTATTACAAGACAGTCACTTTAATAGAATGCCTTGCAAGTACCCACTAGGTAAGTTCCTACGTGAACTCTTCTCTGGAGCCTTTGTCCTCATCCCCAACTTCCTTCTTCTCTGTTTTGGTCTCCTTGATGGCCTCGGCTTGTAGCCTCAAGGAATCACACTATTACAAGACTCACAGTCACTTTTACAGAATGCCTTGCCAGTACCCACTAGGTGAATTCCTATGTGGACTCTTCTCTGGAACCTTTGTCCTCATCCCCATCTTCCTCCTTCTTCTCGGTCTTGGTCTCCTTGATGGCATCGGCTTGAAACTTCGCCAGTACCTTCTCGGCCTTGAGGATGACTGCCGTCGTCAAGGCGATTTGGGTGTTTACATACTGGCATCTGTCTCGTCCCATCATCGCCAGCTCCTCGTTGCCCGACTGGAACGCTGCTTCTGATGCTGCTTCAAGCGTTAAGAGGGCGCTGTTCAAAATGGCTTCAAGGGCCTTCAAGAAAGGAAAGAATGAATTTTAATTACCTTAAAGGGATCCGGTAACTTTGTCTCAGATTCTGAAACAAAATCCTTGATTTCGCTCATGCTGCAATCATAATTAGAAACCTTTAGGTAAGTCAGGAACCCCATGACTTTTACAAACCGATCGCCTGTCTGATTATCAAGATATTTATGATTGGAAATCGAAACCAAATTTTTTGTTTGCCTAATGGATTTTATAACACTACAGTCCATTGGGGAACATGAGTATGGTAAAAACCAATTATTCAAAGATTTTTTACTTTTTTGAGGCACTTCTTGATCATTTGAAGCGCAATTTTGTAAGGGCTTCAATATAACACCATATCACAGACACTGATATCACGTAGGGCCGTGCATCTCAGATTTAACATTGTTAAATGATCCCTTTAAAGCTTGAATAAATCACCATCTAACACTGACCTGTATCTCATGCCTCCTATCATCGATGTTGACCCTTGCCTCTATGACCTCTTCCCAAAGGTCATCTGAATGATAGCCCATCTTCTCAAATTGTCTATGCTTCTCAACTTTACCCATCAGTAGTTCAATATCCTGCAAAATGTAGAAACAGAGCGATGAAAGATGATTCTACAAAGAAATAACCCCGGCAAGCTATATTTGTCCATGCTATTTCATCTCACACATTCATGACCACCTGTAAGATAATGGTGTATGTGATAATTGTACAGCCAAACCTGTGTTAGTGACCACCTGTCTAGAAAGACCACATTTTATCCCCCTTGAAAAATGGTTTCCCATTGAAACGTGTACTAAAGAAAATTGTCTACAAAGACCACCTGTCTATTAAGGCCACTTGTTGCGTTCCCCTTGGGCGGTCGCTATAAAACAGGTTTCACAGAATTAGGTTGATATCCCTACTAGAGGATAGATCACTCCAAATATGAAGAGAAACCTTGGACAAGGCCATTTCTTTACAATTTCACAACATCTTAATCATTGCACCAGCATGGACCACTTTGTGGGTCATTTTGTTGTTGTTTTACCAAAAAAAATTCATGTGCCTACTTTCACAATTTTTATGTGACTTTTTAAAATGATTTAGTTATTTAGTAAGTATAAATACTGCTAAAAGTTGGCTTACTGAAATACAGTTCTTAAAAGTGACATGATTAAGACTTCTTTAGCCACGCTACATGCTAAATCAAATAATTTTTTAAAAACGTTTTAGCCCTACATAGGCTTTTTTTTGTAGTCAAACAAAACATTTTACAATACAATGAAATGAAGTCTTTCTTTAACTCAAATAAAACAAAATACTTTCAAATTCCTCTCCTTGTTGTTCATAAGAACAAATGTTGAAGTGACTGCCATTCAGTCCAAAATGTGTTATTCATACCAGATAGAATGAATATATCTCTCGTCTTCACAGTAATACAAGTATTTACTTGAATGCCTACTCTTGTTTTCTTACCCGTGCAAGGTCCTTGTATTTGTCAATGATAGCTACAAAGGTTTGGGTTAGAAGCGCAGAAGCTGAATCAACCGTCATAGCTGCAGCGTTCATGATGAGAGTACTACTGGTCAGAGTATCTGGATTAACTTTCTAGAAGCAGATCATAAATGATGGTATGAACACATCTTATTATATACAAAAATAATGCCGAATCTATTTTTATTTGTTTCATCAATTTGTTTGCAAGTAGGGAATATGTAATTAGTTATGATCTACCCGACTGTGTATTATGTGTACTTGTCTATATCTAAGTTTGTTGAAATGCTTTTTAATACATGTAAAACTTGTAATGTAATTTAGCTTTCGGGCTACCATTTTGAAGTTGTCTAATAAAAAAAAACATTCTACTACTACTACATGAATTACTGAGTACAGACAAGATGACATGTTCATATACATGGTAGTAAAGCTGCAGCATTCATGATGAGAGTACTGGTGGGCAGAGTCTCAGGATTAACTTTCTACAAAAGAATCAGAGAATAAACACATCTGGTTATATGCCGGAATTACTGGGTACAGACCAGATGTAGTATACATGTAGCTTAAAATTATTGTACATAAATGCCCATGTTTTTAACTGCTTCAATGCCACAACTGTATCGTAAACAAAATGGATTCTATTGCATACTGGAACTGGGTGGTTCCTGTATTAGCCATATGGGTAATATGAGAATTTGATAATCAATAGGTTAAAGATAAAGACCAGTTTTGGTCATGCGATTGCATTGTGAAAGAAACGTTGTGGAATCGATCAGAAAAGGGTGATCATCTAGGATATAAATATTGGTGTGTACTGCAAGGTTCTGGAATCATCAAGATGATATGAAATTTGGCCCAGTCTTCGTAAAGTTACAAGCACTGTACACAGAAAGATGTATATGGGACTACGCACACGTGCGTGACACGTGCGTTTATCTCTTACAGTCCAATAGACAAACTAATTTACCAAATATATCAATTAGTAGGCGGTTACCCGGCAAAATTGTTATCATCATGTATTAGTCAAAACATATGCTTCCACATGATTGGTAATAAAGAGCTTCCATTTCATTTTTTGAAATTGGGGCCTTTCCAATACTGGTTTTTACCTTTAAGAGTCAAATTGTCTTTGAGCTTGTACGACACATGATCCATTGAAAATTCCCCTGCAATTAATATTCCACATTATTATCTATACAAGGCTTCCAAATGGTACAATAAATCAGTGTATTCATTATCTTTAGCGCATTATATCGATATCGAAATTATATCAATATCACACAAAAACAAAGCCATATATGCTGAGGTACCTGTAAGTCAAATGTTGTTATTTCGCTAGTCCGCTTGATATAGATAATAATTATAATATTGTATGGCTTTGTTTTTGTGTGATACAAGAATATATTTCTTGATATGAAAATATTGGACTCGTCTCTGACTCGTTCAATATTGTCATAGCTCGAGAATATAATCTTGTATCACACTCAGCACCATCCAATATTATATAAATATCCAAAGTCTTAACATCCACCCTGGTATTAAGATTGACTAACCAGAAACCTCAACTTATCCAACAGTCCCTATGATTCAAAAGATAAAAGAATTATAAGTGCACTATGATGATCTAATTGAATTATACCTCTAAAGTTTTTAAAGTAGTTTAGCCATTTATGTCTGAATGTCTGAATGAGGCACGCAAGAATGTAGAATTGACAATACTCACAGGTAATCCTTTCACACCAGCCTCCTTCACATTATGAACAGGAATAGCACACAGTCCTCCTAACCCTATAAGCCCTGTTCTTGCAAGCCATCTGGTGATGTACTGGGATGAAGTCCAATGTGTAAATATGGGTCTATTCCTCCAGAGTTTACATGCATGCCGATAGACACAGTAAGTGCTTCTCCTGTTTTGTGGTAAATTCAAGTAAATTCAAGTAAATTCAAGTTTTTATTCATCTTTCTTTCATAACACACATTACAAATATGATATGAATATAACAAGTTGACTGAATATGGTGTTACAATAGAAAGATGAGGTGACCTTGGTTGAAAGCAAGGCTTGTGGAATACAGGTCCCTCATGGGGGTTGGGGGAGGGACGTGTGGGTAAAAGGCAGAGAGAGAATAGAAAGTTGATTACTGCTGTATTCTTATGTTCGCACATTATCTGTGAAAACAAACAAAAACAATTCATACACTCTAAATATAAGAATTTATCAAATTTTCAATAACAGAAAAGAAGAAAGGATTTAAAATAAAAGATTTAAAAAAAAAATCAACTCACATTTGTGACATTGAACCAAGGAATCTGTGACCTGCTATGGCAAACATGGTGGTATACATGTAGTCTGTATACTCTGTTGAAACCTAAAATAATGATGGGAAAACAAAATCATCAATATTAGGAGAGTTTTAAGTATCATAATTTATGTCTAGACTATATGATGCAGTTGAAAACCCCAAAACTAATAAACAACCCCCCAAAAAAAAATCAAAAAAAAATTATAAAATAAATGAATAAATAAATAAAATAACTAGGCTAGAATCTAGCTCTAATAATAATTATTTTTAAAAAAATTAAAAAAGAATTACAAAGGGAATTTGGCAATCTTAGAAGTAACATAGATGAAGGTACTTTGCTTCTTTCCAAAGACAGCAAGTATTCGGGTTGGACGACAAGATATGGTAGGCCTATGTCCATGATCACGAGTTGATAGTTAAACAATTAAAAACACATATGTGAGCGACTGACCGATCTGTCGGCAAAATAAATTACAGGTGTTTCTATGCTACGATACCAAGCAAGGGTGTATCCAGGATTTTGTTAAGGGGAGGTGTTTATTTACCCAATTTGTGAGAAAATATTTAGATCTAGCGGCTAATCAGCCAGCCGGTGAAAAAGCAGGGGGGAGGGGGGCACATATTACCATCCTGGCTGTGTATTAAAAGCTGTGCTCTTGATTCTCAACATTTCAAACACCACTCTACAAAACTCAACTGATTTCACTAAAAATCAGTACTTTAGTGACAATTAATGACACCTAAATAGCAGTAAAATACTAAAATACAATTTTTTCAACTTACTGATGTTAAAAAGAATAGCCTAATTTAAAAATTCAAATTGTAAGTCTAGTGACAGTGTCAAATTTGTCGATCAGCCCAATCGGTCCTATCGTGTGCAGTCTATCCAATATGGTGTGGTGTGTATATTTTTGTATAATACCTGCCTCTCAGCAAGCATGCAGGGCTAGAGGTCAATACGCATTTTAGCATTGACTCTCTATTCTATGCCAAAGACTTTGCTGGAGTTTGGGGGGGGGGGGTTACTCCTTCCCTCCCCCCCCCCCTTCTTTGAGCAAAATTGATAAAAGTTAAGACTAGTGCCGTGCTTTTAACTAGGCGCCTGTAATCCAGCTAAGCTAACAGTGGAAGTTACAAACTGATTCAGCCGAGAACGCAGGTTCGAAACTGAGTCACGTCTTTCGGATGGTGACGTTAAAAGTCGGTCCCCAGACGTAAATAATCATATCTGATTGATACACGTATGTAAAAACCCAAATACACACACACGTGCTCCTCCCTAATACACAAAAAGCATACTAATTCTGATATGTGTGCGTACACGTACGACCCGTACTCGTAAGATTTGAGCAAAGTTTTCAGCCAGCATATTTTTCAACATATGGGACAATGCAAACATTTTACTCGACGGAATTTGTATTATTAGATCTTAATAACAACTACAGGAAGACAGAATCTAACTTTTAATGAAGGCGTGAAATTACATTGACAGTTTTATGATACTAGCGATTTACAACAGAAGTAAAACAAGATTTGAGAGTTATGTAAAAATGAAGAAAGGACTTACCGTGAACAGTTCTGTGTTGTGGAGTGCCTTCTGACAACGTATGGTAAGCTACTTGAACAAAAAATACTGACAGAATGAATAAGAGAAATGAACAAAAAAAGGAAACCAAAAGTGTATAAACAAATGATAAGGGGTCAGGGGAATCGAGATGTCATGTCTGGTTTACTCCGTTTCATTTCTTCTTTACTTGTTATTTATTTTTTTATTTTTTAATGTTTTTTCTTTATTATTTTTAGAAGAGAGAGAGAGAGAGAGAGAGAGGGAGCTAGAGGGAGGGGGTTTCTCAACTAATCTGTGTGTTTTTTTTTTTTTTTTTTATTTTGTTATTTTTATTTTTAAGGAACTGTTTGAGCATTTGATATGTGTATGTGCTGAAGAAAGAATGACCTTCAACATTATAGTGGTTATGAACAGTTACCAAAATTGAAATTAGGATAAACTTCTTGTCGTAATTTCAACCTGGTTAGGCGATTTTTGCTCAATTTCAAGTAAAATGCGATCATGAATGGTTACAACATTATCAAAGTTGAAAACAAACTGTTCTCCAAAAGTTGGATGAACACATTTTACCCTCCAGCTGGGCTTTTTAAATCAACATTTTCTTTTTACCCCGTTTATTTGTATTTTCTTTTACTTAGCTTTTGATAATCATTTTTCCAGCTGTTGTTTTTCTCTTTTTCCAGGGTCACGAGCTTTTTCCATTCTCTCGTACATTTTGATAATAATTGCCCTCTGCGCTATGGGCGGCCAAAAGGGCCAGAACTAATAAAATAAAATAAACAAACAATGATAGAAATAAACAAAGATTCAGAAATAGACATGGAGATAATGCAAAAATAAAGACAACCTCGCAATTTAAGATCTCTACAAAAATAAATCAACTTTCGAAATAAATATAACACAGGAATAAAGACAACTTCAGAATTAAAGATAACTGCAAAAATAAGGACAACCTCCGTATCATAAAGAAAACTTCGGACATGAAGATTTCGACGGAATTATAAAGAAAGCTTCGGAGATAAAGATATCTGCAGAAATAAAGACAAAAACCACATAATTAAAGATAACCGTAGAAATAAGGACGACCACAGAATTGAAGAAAGCTTCGGAGATCTAAAAGACAACCACGGTACGCGAAAGCTTCGGAGACAAAGACAACCACAGAACGGAAGTTTAGAAATGGAGATAACGACTGAAATTAAGTCTACTATAGAAACGATATGCCCGCTCCACCCGGCGCATATTTTTTTTACACAACTGTTTAGCCATTTTCGCGTAAAAATTCCAAGAAGTGCTCTGGTGAAAGAAGACAAGAGAGGGTGTCCTAACGCAAAAATTAACCGAGAAGCGATATTACCTACTTCGTTGTGAGGGGCAGGATTGCTTCAGGGTGATGAGGAGAGGAAGGGCATAGTTATGTAGATTGGATGGTTAGGGGCTAGTGGTGGGAGGGGGGGGGGGGGGGGGGGGTTGGGAAGGGGTGTTAACGGGATATTAAGGAGTGTATACTAACTTCATCTGAGGGCAGGCGCGTACGCAGGGGGGGGGGGGGGGGTTGACCCCCCTTTCAGTTTTTGTTTATGTGTGTATTTTGGAGCCAACCCCCCCCCCCCTTGTGTGTGTTTTTTTTTTAAATGGCTGACCTAAAAAACGGTGACCTTACCCACCACCCCCCCCCCCCCCCCCCAGAGCAAAATGTCAATTTTTCACATTTCGAGACAAAAAAAAAAAAAAATGTCCTCTTACCCCCACCTCTTACAAGCAGATAAGATTGTTATAGGGAGGTAAATGGGTGAGGGCATACTGATGTAGCCGCAGTGGTAAAGGGCTAGTGGATGGTGGAGGGGGGGGGGGGTGGTAGTGGAACAAGGATAGATAAAGGTGTGTATTTAACCTATTTCACCTTCCTTTTCTTTCTTCACTATCTTTCTCCCTCTCTCTCTTCTCTTATTTTTGTCTTTTGTCTTTCCGTTTCCCTTCTTTTCCTTCTCTCTCTTTTTGTTTGCGGGGGGGGGGGGGGGGGGGGGCAAGGCCCGCTCTTGCGGCTCCTTCGGAGTATGCTGATAAGGATTCACAAAACTCAGTGTTTAGGGCAGGTTTCGAGGGAGTTAGCGTTACCAGTGGCGGATCCAGGGGGGGGGGGGCTGGAAAAAATGTCTATTTTTACATTTTTTTAACGTTAATTTTACCTTTTTTGGGAGATGGACTCCCCCCCCCTGGCGCTCAAGGGGGGGGGGGGGTGCAATTTTTCAAATTTTCGAGGGCCAATTTTTTTTTTTTTTGCTCACTACCTTGTAAAGAATCATTATCCACCCAATTTTCAAAAATTCCCCAAACTTTGTATTACCTTTAAAACGAAATAGTTAATATACACTCATTTAAATCCCCTGTACGTCCCGTTCCTGCCCCCCCCCCCCACTTCCTCCACCACTAGCCCCTTATAATCCAAGCTTCATGAATATTCCGTCCCTCTTCTCATCGCCCTCAAACAATCCTGTCCACTGTTCATAATCAATACAAACCCTTAAAACGAAGTAGGTAATATCGTTCTCGGTTAATTTTTGCGTTAGGACACCCTCTCTCGTCCTCTTATTGTCAGTTTGTTTGCGATTTTGATCATGTATTTGTAGTTGGTAGTATAATTTTAGGAGCGGGCATATCGTTTCTATAGCAGACTTAATTTCAGTCGTTATCTACCTTTCTAAACTTCCGTTCTGTGGTACCGTTGTCTTTGTCTCCGAAGCTTTCTTCACGTACCGTGGTTGTCTTTTAGATCTCCGAAGCTCTCTTCAATTCTGTGGTCATCCTTATTTCTGCAGTTATCTTTAATTATGTGGTTATCTTTATTTCTGCAGATATCTTTATCTCCGAAGCTTTCTTTATAATTCTGTCGTTGTCTTTATTTCTACAGTTATCATTAATTCTGTGGTTTTGTCTTTATTTCTGCATTTATTTTTAATTCTGTGTTTGTCTTTATTTCTGCAGACATCTTCATGTCCGAAGTTTTCTTTATGATTCGGAGGTTGTCCTTATTTTTGCAATTATCTTTAATTCTGAAGTTGTCTTTATTCCTGTGTTATATTTATTTCGAAAGTTGATTTATTTTTGTAGTGATCTCAAATTGTGAGGTTGTCTTTATTTTTGCATTATCTCCATGTCTATTTCTGAATCTTTGTTTATTTCTATCATTGTTTGTTTATTTCATTTTATTAGTTCTGGCCCTTTTGGCCGCCCATACTGCGCGGCCAATCAATTTTCTAGACACAATAACAGACGGGTACCATGTTTAATTAGTAAAATGACAAGTGCTCTTACCTGAGGGTTGAGAGTTGGCGAATGAAATCCTGGTAACCCTTAACCTCGGCAGGCGTGGAGCTCAGGTCAACAAAGTGAGAAAAACATGAACAAAATACTACAATACGGGTATGCCATTTGGAGGTGTCACGGTATACATCGAGTGGTTGTAGTGACACAAAGACTAAACTC